AGAGCGGCTGAGAATAAAGGCTGTTGGAATTAACAGAATGCGTGCTCTTCTTTCGCCGTTGACTCGAGGACTCAACAATTACAGTATAAGTATCAGCCCAAATATCACAAAACAGAGAGCAAAAGTACTGAAATTACTGAAAGAATAGTAAATTCTATTTTATAGGGCTCACTATTGACAATGGATGGCCCAGATGGTGTGGGATTCCCTGAAAGACATTGAGGCCTAACCCACAGTGCCCAAGCAAAGAGTCCACAACTTCTTTCAGCTTGAGAAGTTAGTTCTTTATTGTCAGAGTTTCCTTTTTAACAAGTAAAATGTTAGTTAAAACATGGGTAGCTTTTTTTTTCTTCTGCACGCCACAGTTTTTTCATTAAGAAATTTTCAGTCCCCTTTCATTTTTGCTTGTCAGAATTTGTTTGTTGTTTCCTTTAAGAAAACATATAGAGAGAGCAAGAGAATTTGGTGGTTTACCATTGAGGTTTGGAACCATAATCTTGGTTGGCCAAGGGTTATATGTAGGCCATGAACTAGGGATGAACCACTTCTGGATTAGTCAAGATCATAACTTTAATTTAAAAGGGCACAATCCTCCAAACTACAAGACTTGAAGAATTATACCATCTCACATTCTAATTTTACTACTGTTATTTTATCAAGATTGTTTGTTTACTATATTTGAATGCTGCCAAAACCAATAGACTCACAACTTATAGAAAAGCTAAAATTGAGATCAATAGTAGTAACATTTACAATATTCCATCATTCATATGTATTTCACATGCATGAAGTAAAGCAGCTTTCAGCATAAAACAAGCTGTATAAAATAATAAAATAAAAACTATAAATATATTATGAATAAATCATAACCCTAAAAGAAGTATAACCCCCCTATCTAAACAATAGTCACCAGTGATGTGGCATCCATTATTTTGCAAGATTATACTCTAGAATTCTATTAATTTAATTTGAGATAATACTGTAGTTCAAATATTTCAGATTTATCCTACTTTTCATTTTATGTAGAAACATTAATGAATATTTTAAAACCCTAGCCCAGTGATGGCGAATCTTTGAGAGACTGAATGCCCAAAAACTGGCCCCACCCCCGCTCCACCCCCTGCCCTGCCTGTTCTGTTCTGAGTGTTGGTAAGGCATTGAGACGAGGCAGGAGTGACAACAGTTGCTTCTTTATTCAATCTTTAACAGAACAACACAAAATGGCATGGATCCCTTTTATACTTTTCTGCAGGGAGCAGCATCAACCAATAAATGCAACATATTTTTCCCACCTTGCCCATGCGCAATAGGCTGGAGACAGCCTGTCTGGCCCAGGCAGCCTCATGGTCTGCCCGGGATTCTCTGCAGCTTCCTGCACCTGCTGTGTCAATCACAGCATAACACGGACATAACACCGTCTATACCCCATCTGCCTGCAGGCAGATCACCCAAGCAGCCCAGCAGCACCATGGCGGCCAAGTCTGCCCACACCCCGCAGCATCAACTGTGCGGGATAGCGGGTGAGGGCAGAGTCTTGTCTATGCTGCCTGGCTACAATGTCCTTGGCTGCACTGCTCTGTGTGGGCCACACTCGGGGGCGATTCTCCTCCAGGGGGACTGCTGGTGAGGAGGGGGTCATGGGGGGAGGCAAGTCTGGGGCAACGGCACGTGTGCCCACAGAGAGGGCTCCGAGTGCCACTTCTGGCACGCGTGCCATAGATTCGCCACCACTGCCCTAGCCTTTCCCGGTATTTAAATAAATGTTTTTTCGTGCAGGTTGACATGATTTATAAATGTTTTTTTCTTTTCTTCAAGATATTTTAACAGCTCACTTGTGGGGATTTTATGTCAAATATATTTGCATCTATTTTGGATTTGGTCTTTCCTACCTGGAAGAAACTACAGGATTCTTTTAAAAACAAACCTGCATGGAGGGAATTTGTAGCAGCAAAAAATTTAAAAAATTGTTTTGGGATTGGCTGTTTGGAGCAGAACAGCAACATTTAAGAGATGCAGCCTAAATAACTAAATTACACTATCAACCCTTAAATAGGAGCACCTACTGAGATAGGTTGGAATTATTATAGCTGTTGGATTTGTCTATTTCTGGCCACAGAATCATATTTTGACATAGCAGCTGTTTTTGATGAGAGCCCAGCTTGCATTACTGAACTTCACCCTCATTATAGTTGTCTTTAAAGCTGTCTGTCATGACAAGCCCTGATGCTGAATGCTGAAACTGCCCCAGATTGGCAAAACTTACATTAAATAACACTGAAAAGATCCAGAATAATAATTTTGGTCTGATCTGATCTCCGAATATCTTTGATAATGATTTTGAGTCAAGGTTGGTTGCAGGGAGAGCCTGTAATGTGACAGAATGGGACTCAGGTGGAAAGAGTTGTCCCATGGGAACCTTCATTGTGCCCCTAAAGAAAATTGCCATGTCTTTCAAGTATGTTGAAGGACATCACCCTTTCAGAAGCATGGAAGCAAAGTGCAGCTGTTTCTGTTCATGGAATGTAAACGAGGCCATCTTTTTTTCTGTTTGGGCAACAAAACATTTTGCAAAACAGAAGATTTCAGAGTTTCTGATCTGCTAGATTGTCACAATAATTACTTGACACTGAACTGCAACTACTCAACCACATTTCAGTGGTTAGTTTATTGTCCTTTTTGCCATACAAATCCAAAAATATGTGATTATGTCAAATGACTTTCTGTTAACAACCCAATCATTTTTTTCTGGACTTCCATAATATGACAATAAACTAACTACACAGACTAAAATGTGATTGAGTACTTGCGGTTCAGTGTTTCATTTGATCATTATCACTCTACAATAATAGGTTGTTAACTGAAGCACACTCTAGTTGTAGGGTCTAATGCAGGGGTGTCAAACTCAATTTCATTGAGGGCTGCATCAGCATTACAGTTGCCCTTGGGGGGCCGGGTGGGTGTGGCCAGGGTGGGTGCAGCCTACTGGGTGGGCGTGGAGGGAATGGGTGTGGCCTACTAGGTGGGCATGGCCAGCTCTACATTGTGTCAAGGGTGCCTGTGGGGACCTGAGCAGGACAGATCTGAGGGTCTCTGGCAGAAGGGGGTGGGACCAGGGCAAGTGCCAAGGCATGGTCTACTGGAGGAGCCTCACTGTTCCTCTCAGGCCATGTGGGGGGGGGGGGCTGGATGATGGTGCGGGCTGCCTGGAGCCCTGGGCAGCAGAGGGCAAATGCCAAGCCTGGCCCTCGAGCACCCGTGGCACCAAGCCCAGCTGCATTTCCCCAAGGGGGTGCCCAGCTGCACTTACCTCCTCCTCAAGACTGCTGCTGCTGTGCTTTCTCTCCTTAGCCAGGTTGTTTATGATGGGTATCAGGGCAAAGTCAGAGGGAGACTGAATGCGTTTCAGCATAGATGTCCACCACAAAATTGTACATTGGCTCCCGGCCGGCCAGCCTGGGCCAGGGCCAGGTAGTGGGGGCCATTCCCTCACTGTTTCCAGGATGGCTTCGCGGGCCACATGAAACCACTTCGCGGGCCACATCCGGCCCCCAGGCCTTGTGTTTGACATGTCTAATCTAAAGAAATTCAATTGAATTAGTTTTCAAGGCAGAGCACTACTCCTTAAATCTTCTTTTAGCTTTTTGCCAACAACTGTCAAACTCACTCAGAGATATCAGGTTAATGTTTGATTTTGTTGGGTAAATTAATGCTGACTTGGAAAAGCAAGTTTTTAAATTCAAGAACTTCTAATCTAAGGAGACCAACACATGGCTGTAGGATTACTTGCAGCCATATAGTGTAATTTTAACAGTACTCTGTATTCAATTAATTTAGATCTCTGCAAAGAAATTTGTCCCTTCCCTGGCAGCCTGCTTCCTGTCAGCCTGTCAGAAAGAGAGAGAAAAATAGAAAGGAATGGCAGATAAATGAAAAAAGGACATATTTGAAAGACCAAATGCTTTTGCCCAAATTATTTTGTCACATAGTATTGGTTCAAAAGATTACAGAAATTGTAGTTCTGGGAGTACAGCATTAATATTTTTTTAAAAGGGTGTTAAACCTCTGTTTATATAAATTAGTGGCTGTTATTGACCCAGCTCTAAATTTCTAACAAAGCTAAGTCAAGGTCTTAATGTTTTATTGTGTTGATTATATTGTATACTGTACAGAAATCCTCTGTAAGAAGATTGAGAAGATTATTTTGACATCAGTAATGTAACAGTTATCTTATTCTGCCTGGTGGTACAACTGGTCCTGAGCAAATTGAATGGATTCTAACAGTAGTCCATTGGGATGGTTGAGTCCAACTTAATCTGGAACAGAATAATCTCTTGTTTATTTCTCCATTTCAAGCACTAGTAAACAAGTATCTGGAAAAGGCAAGCAAATAGACTTGGGCAGGCAGAAGATCAAGTAAACTAGCAGCAGAAAGAGATTGGTGGGTATGCTATTTTATGAATAAATGAAGAGACTAAGGGTGTTTCCATATGGCAGTCTTAAGCCGCTTGTCTCCTATGGTGCAAATAAAATGGGTAAGAAAACACTATCAAGATTACAATCTTGAACAGTAATGCTGGCTAGATCTACTACGGTAATTACTATTGGCCTGGATAGGTGAAATTTTCTGTTTTCTTTTCCATTTTCTCCATGCATTATTGAGTTCCTTTCTGTGGCTGGAACTGGATAAATGGTTTCCATGTATAGACCTTTTCCTTAAGTTCTCTCTGTTGATTCTTCTAGTGCTTGACATGTTTTGAATTTATTTGTTCCATGTAGTAACTATCTCATATATGTTGAAAAGTGTCTGCTCACACTTTACTGATTTACCAATGGAAGAAAAAAAGAAACTCTTATCTTGGTTTGAACTAATTCAAAAATCACTGGTCAATCCAAAAGACAGTTACGTTTAGTCCAATCCATCATAGAATATTATCATTTTGGACAAATATTTATCTGTCTTACAGAAAACTAATAGAAAGTTGTTGTTTTTGTTCCTGTCACTTAGGGTTGAATGAGAATTTGACAGAACTCTTGACAGTTTCATCCCAGTTCCAACATATCCAAAGTTATGAAATACTGCAGGGAAATGCTGGCATTGACTCAACCAAATAGTGTGGAAGTGAGTGGTTTCAAGTGCCAAAAGGGTACAGTATATGAGTGCAAGGGTTCAATCTCCTCTCCATACAAGCTTTACCTAGAGAGTCTCTATTTCATTATTAAAGTAGAACTGTGGATACAAGGTTGTGCAGAGAAGTAGGGAAGTTGATTGGGATTCTTTCCAAAACGTTTTACATTCTGCACTAATTAAGAGTCTAAAGTTAAATTGTTTCTCCTAGTTGTACTTGGACAGATAAACATCTTTCCTAATCTGGACATTCTTCAATGCCTGGACCTTGTCTTCTAGAACTCCATATCAGTGTGGCCTTTGATTAGAATTCTAGGTAATGATTCCATGCAGTTCAAGGGCACTAAGATAGAGGAATGCCACAATAAGCATGATTTTTATTCTAGTTAGAGACTGGTTTGGGAGTAGGAGGACAGAGTCCCTGGGTTATATCTTCATTCAGCACAAAACATTTTAAGCCAAACACCCTTTCTAGGCCTAGCCATACTCAAAGGATTTTTGTGAAAATAAAATTGGGAAACACACAATGCAAGTCATCTTTAGCTCCAGGAAGGGAAAGTAATATATAAATAAACATCAATTAATTATATAATAGATGGAGAATAGTCTATACTATTTAAATATAATCATCTACTACGTTTATTATGCTGAAGTTCCTTTAACACAATTATCAGCTCTTTGGGGGATTTGAAAAGAAGCAGAATGAACAGTTTTAAATATATAGCACTGCCAATCTGTCTCTTTCTCTTTTTCTCCTGCTGCCCTCTAAATATAGCCCATGCCTGGTAGGTTGCAGGAGCCAGATGCCTCAATATGAAGTGCTGCTCTTTCTATTGGTCTGAACTTATGGCCCTTCTGAGGTTGTCAGGGTGATTGACAATTGAATGAGTGCCATGCAATCAAGAGGGTTAGATCTCTGAACTTAATAAATGAATTTAAATACATATGCTTTATTTCCAGATGCAGCAGTACTTGATCATCAGATTTATTCCCAGTCTAAAGCTGCATACCTACTGTATATTCTATGCATTTATCTGGCAGCTACTCTTATGGTAAGTAAGTAAGATATCTTTTTGAAAGAATGTCTGTAGAAATGCAATATAGCATATGTTGGCACGTGATATTGGAATGTAAACCTAATTCTTTTCTTTTATTAATAAGCATAATATGCAGAGGAGATGTTTGCTCATGGGTCCCACTGAAATGGAGGAGAACCTTTCTACTGATCACATTTTTTATCTCTGGGGACTACCATTATCATACCACCACTGTGATCTTCCAAGAGGCTAGGAGAATGAAAAACGTTATAGAAATTTAGGTTCAGGCTTGACATCATTGCCAGTTTAGATAGTGTGGTCTGCAAGGCTTTCTTTCCCCTGTCCCTGTGGGTAATTGAAAAAAAATGTAAAAACAGAATAACCAGTGTAACAAGAATACAAAAGCAACATGACCAAGAAGCATGAGCTGATTGCAATCCCTAAGAGTTGGGACAGTGAGAGGTCATCCCATACATGTAGAGGGCACCGGGAAAGATCTACACATAACTACACTTCTTCACATAAGATTCTGCAAATGCTCTGAGTAGACACATAATGGCATTACACTAAAATGTAATATTCTCTGTATTTAGAAAGCAAACAACTGCTGCTGAAATTGTGCCATCTTTGCTTGTTTATTCTTTCTACTCTACATTTATTCCCACCAATATGCCTAGGTTCAAACCATCTTTCACTGATCCTCAGCATTTGAAGTAGTTGGAGAAGCATCAGCAGCAGCTCACCATTCCCCTGGGGGAACATAGAGTATGACAATGTCACTTCCTTCCTACTATCTTCTTGATGCTTTGCCATTCTCTATTAAATTTCACAATCCAATTTTATCAAAGAACGCGTTCTAGTCAATTTCATAATTCCTTAGTCCAATTTCCTACTCCAGGCTAAACTGTCCCTGTTTCTATACCAAGAGTGCACCCTCCCTATTAGTATCTCGTAAATAAAACTGATAGCCCTGCAATTTTGAAATAAATGGTTCTTGGCAGTGCACAGAGGATATGATCGCATGAAAGTTGCAGCTTAAAAGCAATCAGTTAAAAAAACAAAAAACAAAACAAAACAGTAAATAGTATAATGGTTGGAGCATGTATCATGTCTTCTGTGAGAAAAACCAAAAGCAAATGATGAACTGCAGTATATGTATATCTTGTCTTCAAACTGGGGGGGGGGGGGCTGCATTGCATCTTCTTAAGCTTTTAAATGGCCTCTGGCTATATAAGCAGCATTCATTAAATTGGAACACAACTTATCCCAAGGTTATGTCTGGCTCACCTGGCATCTCTCTACCTTTTCTTCTCTGAAAATCTCACGAGTCTTACAATATGCCCCAAGTGTCGGAATTTCATAGCACATTTAGATCAGCCTACTTTACTTCTTGCTAAGAAGTAAACTTAGTCAATATATTTAATCAGGTGATGCTGTCTAGGCTTGCATGTGGAGTTTTGTAAGTAGAAGAGCAGAGAGATGAGAAACATAAAGGTTTCAGATTTACTGAACTACCTCTGAAATTAAACTGTTTTTACTTCCTTCCTTCTGACCTATTTCCTGACTTGAACATTAGTCATCCTTTCTTCTCTCCTTCCCCTCTTACCTTCCCCCCAACTTACAATGTCAGCCGAGTGTCACATCAATTAAAGCACAGAACCCATCATTTGTCATTTTGAATTCTGAGAAGCCCTTTTCTTGACATGAAATAAAATGCCTCTCCATTTCAATTTTAAATAGAGATTAAAATCTGAATGAATTGGTCACTAGTAAATGTGGCACATCTCAGATTCTTCTTAGCACTGGACGACTGAGAAACAATCACTATATCCTGAATGCTATGTTCTGATCAAGTGAAGCCTAGTGGTTTGCAAGGCTTTAAAAAGGATGAGTTCACAGAAGATGAATCTGTTAGGATTTTATCTATTTATTTATTTATTTATTGAATTTCTTGGCTGGATATCTCACAAATACGGTGACCCTGGGCAGTTTGCAATATAATAAAAGTTAAAAACTAAGGTTCAAATTAAAATTAAAAAATGATGGACAGCCAGAGGGTGGGAATCTTCTCTATCCCATCAGTCATCCCCAATGTTGAAGGTTCCTTTTGGGAATCTAGACCAAACAGCAAAGCCAAGGTTTTAGGCTCTTCTAGAAGGCCAGGATTATGGAGGAAGATGTCACCTCTGATGAAAAAATATTCCAGTAGGTGGGAGCCACAGCAGAAAAAGCTCTGCTTCTGGATCCCACCAGTCAAAATTCTTTGGCTGATGGGATCCAAAGTAGGACTTTTCTTATGGAATAAGTGAGTTGGGTTAGTCCCAACAAGGTAAGGCAGTTCCTCAGATACCCTGGATCCATACCATAAAGGCTTTAAAATGACCAATCCCTTGAATTGGATCCAGAAGCAAATTGGCAATCAATGCAGCACATGTGGCGTCACGTGTGCCACCCAAGGGGCCTCCAGAACTGTCCATGTCACTACATTCTGTACCAGTGGTAGCTTCTGAATACTCTTCAAGGGTAGCGCTATGTAGAGCGCATTGCAGTAATTCAACTGGGAGATGACAAGGGCATGAGTAACTGTGTGCAGGGTCTCATAATGCAGAAAACATGCAATTGTATACAAATAAACTTGCACAAAGGCTCTCCTAGCCATGACTACTTCTCTTTGTTAGGCTAAATATATCTAATCCCCTTAGCTTAGCCTTTCATCATAGAAATTAGCCTCCAGACCTCTAATCTTTGGGCTCCTATTTGGGCAGGAGTCATGAGTCCAGGAGAAACCCCAGACTGCACACTGCACACATTTTTTCCTAGTCCCATCTGGAACTAAGAATGATAAACCCCCAGATCTCAAGGCCCCATGAACTCACAGCAACTTTATCTTACCAGGGTTTACTGGTAAAACAGATTATTGGAATCTCCATTTATAGAATATACACTCTTCAGTATGTGATGCAGTAAAAGAAAAAAACAATCTGTACCTTCTACCACTTATGCTTTGATTGGATTTTCGTACAGCACATTTTCTTCATAATGATGGAACATCATTACCCAAACAAGACTGAATTGTTTTCTATCCATGCAACTGTTCCATTAACATAAGCAAAAGGAGCTGAATTGACATTGGCAAGATTTTCCTTTCCTTTTTAGCAGAGAATTAGCTAGACTGTGCAAAGTGCCAGTACAAAACAAAAATTGTACCTTGTTTATCAGATGTCTAGGTCAAGATCCTAGTTGATAATCAAAGTTCTGTTTTGGGCTCAGTGCTTGTCAACATCTTCATAAATGACCTAGATGAGGGGATTGAAAGGTGCTCAGCAAATTTAGAGATGACACAAAGCTGGGGGAAGCACTTAGGCAAGAAAAAACAGATGCACAGGTACAGGATAGGCAGTACCTGACCCAACAGTAGTTCCTGCGAGGATGTATCTAGATGTCCTGGTTAGACCACTGCTTAAATATGAGTCAGCAGTACAGTTGCCAAAAAAGGCAAACCCAAACCTCTACTGAATCCACAGAGGAATAGCATCAGAATCACAGGAAGTGATAGCACTGCTTTATACCACCCTAGTGAGACCATACTTGGAGTACTGCATTTAGTTCTGGTCACCACAACACAAAAAAGATGCTGAAGCCTTAGAAAGAGTGCAGAGAAGACCCCTAAAGTGATTAGGGGTCTGGAGTTAATTCATATGATGAAAGGGTAAGGGAAGTAGGTATAGTATGTTAGCCTAACAAAGAGAAGACTTTAGGAGACATAATATCTGTCTTCTAGTACTTGAAGGCTGTCATGGGGAAGAGGTGGTCACTTTCTCCTCCAGAGCACCTGAGGATAGGACAAGAAGCAATTGGTGGAAACTCATCAGAGGGAGATTCAGTCCAGAACTGAGGAGGAATTTCTTGACATTGAGAATGAGTGAGAACCTGAGAATTCCTCACAGTGAGAATGTGAGAATGATTAGTGAATGGAACAGCTTGCCTTCCAGAGTTGTGGGTGCTTCATCATTGGAGGTTTTCAAGAAAAAATTGAACAACCATTTGTCCAGGATGGTAAGACTCATGCCTTGAGTAGGACAGTAGATTGGAAGACCTCCAAGGCCCCTTCCAACCCTATGATTCTCATCCTCTAACATTCCTGTCTCATCTGTCCAATATGACTGGTTATTTTGGTGGTAAAAAAACAACAATGATGCTTGTCTATTCCAAAATTTCTTGGTCAGATCTGTAAACTGATGTGTTTCTCTCACCACCAAAATGCAGAACAGTCCCTAACCCAAACCGAACATTTTTTCCTAAGAGCAGCATAGCTGCATCTTCATTATTTAAAAAATAATTGCTAAATCACAGTGAGTTATATATTTTTTTCTGGCAAGATTTGAGAGAGCCCTTGGTATAACAGAAGTACTTAAGGAGGCCAAATTCAAGTGGGTACAAATGCAGCTTGAGGATCAGTTTCATTCACAGCCCCCATTTTTTTCTAGGCTTTGGACCACCTTGCTTGATGGTTAGAAAAGTTAATGTAAATGGCTGAGAAACTTAAATAGTCAGCCATTAAAAGTCAGATGAATAAATAAATGGGAAACACATGAAATTTATGAATTTTATGAAAGTTCAGTTTCATTGCTAATAAAAGAAGTGTCCTATCTCTATGAAATTTTGTTTTTATTTCCCTTTTGAATAACAAATACCGTATATTCTGGTGTATAAGACAACTTTTGAGAGCGTCGAAACAGCCTCCGAACTCGGGGGTCGTCTTATATGCTGAATCATCTTATACGCCAGAAATAAGGTAGTTTCTGGCGTATAAGATGACTTTCTAGGCATGCGACTCGGCATTGATTGTCTTATACGCCGGAAATACTGGTAGTTTCTGGCGTATAAGATGACTTTCTAGGTATGCAACTCGGTGCCGATTGTCTTGCGACTCGGCGTCGATCGTCTTGCGACCCGGCATCGAACTAGGGGGTTGTCTTATACGCCGGGTCGCCCTATACGCCAGAATATACGGTATAGTTTTTTCCAGGCAAACTACTAGTAATACCATATGCTTCTGGCTTAAACATCAATTTATTCAGAGGTTGAGGATCACATGCGTAGTTACTCATTTCTCAGGTGCAATATGGTCTCTTCAATGACCGGACACAATTGCAAAAAAATCTAAAATATGACACTGGGGAGCAGATTCTAACAGGCATTTTACAGTAGAAATTCTATGCAGGAACAATTTAACAGGTCAAAGTGAAATTGGAAGTTCAGCAATTAGAATAGAATAAAAACTGTATTGTCACTTTAAATGTCACTAATTTATTGTCACTAATCAGCATACATTAAAATGAAATTTCATTGTATTCAGCTCTCAAAAAAAAAAAATACCATTATGCATATACCCACATACACATACATATATGACACAGAAAAACATCACAGTCTAGTTTGAATGTATACATGTATACATATAAAAAAAATCCTGCGAATTTACAATACAGATGGCATAAGGAACAACGCTGTTACAGAATCTAGTACTGCCATAAATACTTCAAAACCTCCTCCCACAGGGGAGAAAGAAAATAGATAACAATTCATTCAGTTAGAAAGAAGGGATGGAGAGTTGAGAGTTGAGAGGTTTATGAAATATTACAACACTGAGCCAAGACTAGAGGTAAGAGAATTTATCTACTTTTCATTAGTCAAATTCAATTCATTTAAACCAGATTACTTGGCTCCAACTAGTTGACTTAACTAATATAAAATGGATAAATCTAATTGAAATTAGAAATGGAATAAGCACAGAGAACAATTTCTGAATGAAAATGAGGCAGCAATCAATTTGATGAACCAAAGCCAAACCATGCTTATCATACTCTACCATTTTCTTTCTGCTCTTTTGTTTCCTGGTGATCTAATAGTCATGTGAAAAATATAGTTTTTTTCAAATGTAGTTGTACAATTATTTATTTATTACCTTTATATGCCAACTTTCTCACTATCCAAAGTGACTCTGGGCAACTTATACAGGATGGATCTACCATCTTTGAATTGACAGAATAATTCACTTCCACTAAACTCCATTTAGATTTAGGACTATGGTCCATCAGTTCAGCTGGACATTTCTTAATGGAACATCAAGTGTCACATCACACTATTTAATGCAGTAATTTTGGTGGAAGCAAAAAGGTGAAAATTAGAATCCACTAACTTCCTTTTATTTTCCTAATTTCAATTCTTTCCTTTTATTCCATTCAAGGACTATATTAGCCTTCCCAGGTAGACAAGACAGGAAATACAGTCAGGTAAACTAATTCTACTTTATTGTAAGACTATCTTAACAGAATATCACTAATCTGAATCTCCCACCATCTATTTTATAGCCTGAGAATCTAAGGTGAATCTCTTCTGAGCCTCTTTCTTCATTCATTTCACAGCTGTGGGCTACACCCTCTCTTATCTGACCATTCCCTAGGCAGATTTCTTCCCCTCAGGGTGATGAAAAATGTAATCCATCCAATCTGGAAGGCAACAGACTTAACCATCCTTAAATGAAATCACCCCCCCCCCATGTTTCTATCTTCTTTTTTTCTGTTTGTGAATGAAAATAATTCCCTGAAACTCTTTTTTTAGAAGAGGTTTGTACAGTCTGGCTTATTTGAACCCATTTTAGACTACCTCCTGTTTTCTTCTCCATCCTTTCTGCTCTTGCATTAGTTTTGTCTTGCTGCAAACATATAAAGCAGAAGCGTTGACAAGAAGCCATCATTCCCAATACAGAAGCCCAAAGGATTTGTGTTTCTTAGGAGTTGCCCAAAGCTCTACATGGCTACTTGCAGCTTGAGAAGAGCTCTCCATGGTACTGATTCCTTGAAAAGATGCAAAAACGTATTTCTTTGTCTCCCAAGACTTTCTGATCACTAAAGCAACATTCCAGTTACATGGAACTACAATTTTTCTCATCCTTAGACAGCACAGGGCCTGTCTACTAAGTGTCAGGTAGGAAGGTGCTTTGTTTATTTGAACAAAAGCCCTCTGGTTAAAAGTTAAGCAAAGCAAAAATTAAAACCTCACATGACTTAATCTTTCTCTTTTATTACCATTTTGTAGGAACCTCAGGATTTTTCTGATCAAAAAATATGTTATGAACTATCCAGAGTTATTAGGTGAGATGAACAGTTAGCTATACAGACAAATCATTAAATAAGAATTTCACTTGTAATAATGATGCCATATTTTAAATTGAAAATTGCATTTCTTTCACATTTTTAGAACTACTTTTTAGTTTTCTCTCCTTCCCTCCCCCACAGCTGTTATAACAAGAATATAGAAATAGCTAAGCAAGTTCCATGGTGTTTGATTTACAAATGAAGTAGCACACAGGATCATATAAAGGTTCTAAACCCACCACAAGAATATTTATGGTCCAAAGCCTTCAGGTACCCCTCTGCTCTTTTTCTACCAATCCTTGCAGGTCTCCATATCTCCCAGCTTTTCAGGTTCAGTGAGGTTCTGAATTCTCTCTCTCATTTCTGGGACTTCTTTCTCTTCCGCTTGAAGTTGGCCACAGATGTGTATCTAGTAGGGAAGAGAAAGACTAATTACAATGAGAGGCTATGAGTGCCACAAAGTGTAAACTCTGCCTACTTGGGAATGTGCCTGTCAGTACCTTCAGACAGTTATGAATTCATTTCCCTTTGAGTTAAGGCTCTCCTTTCATGCTCTGCATTGCTAGAGAAGGGTGGAAAAACCAGAGGTCTGAGACTTTAGCAAAAGGCAGACTCCCTATATTTCCTTCCTTTCTTAAGAGGGAGAGCAGAAGGATGATTTCACTCACTTAGTCACATCATCAGCCAACTAACCCCAGCAAACTACCCTTGATTTCCATAATGGGAAAAGAGGGGCTGGTTCTGGTATTGGGGAGATACGTAACAAGAAAAGGAAGTACAGACTCTTACGTACATTTTCAAAAGCAAAAGAAAATCACAACAACCAATATACAACCAGAAGATTGGATGAATTGGCATTGGTTTGTAAATGACATGTATTTTAAACACATATGTAGAAAGAGTAGGTCTAATGAAATCTGGGTATGGAAAGAAATAAGGAAGACAGTGATTCCTTCCTGGAAAACTCACTGAAGTTCCTGGGATAGCTGTGGACAATTCCAAGTCACAATCAGATATTCTCTGGCAATCTGCAGGTTGCAAAGTTTTATCTTCTGGCAATTAGATTCTACCTGTCTGCACCATTTCTCCAGTTATGGCTGGAGAAAAACAAGCCTTCTACTAGCACTAGTACTAGTGGGGTTCCTTTCCCCTAAATGTAAATTGTTGTAGAGAAAGAATTATAGGGAAGCATCGAGGGACAGAAAAGTCCAGCATCCTTTCCTCCCCTCTCCTCCCCTCCCCTCCCCACACACTGTGATCCTTTGGGAAGTTGTCTTCCCCACCCCAGTGTAATGAGGCTGTGCAGAATACTTCCATTGAAGCAAATGGTTTAATCAGGACTACTTACACTTTTGGAAAGTGGAAGAACTTTAAATCAGCATAAGGCAACACAGAGAGATGTGTGCTGCATGCCATGGTGTGAGAAGGAAAATAGGGAGGTTGATTGTTGATATATCTGGCATTGCTGCCTCTAGGGGAAAAAAGGTGGAAATGGGGCTGCAATTTCTGGATTCTAGAAAGGACTTTTGATTTCTGCCAGCTTTGTCTGGAATCTCCTGCAAAAATGTGCTTTATGGCATTTTCCTTAATATAGCACCCAAATTCCTCATCTAAGTATAGCAGCTTCAGCCCATGACTGGTCCAGCCCTAATAAGAAAACATTTTATTAGTACAAATAATTCTCACTGAAGCACAATTGGAATTGGCAACTCCTTTAGTAAGTGACATAGACATTAAGTGAAATATCATATGATCATATTCAATTTATAACGTTAGTTCTGCTGCAGTCATTCAGTGAATCCCACAACATTAGCATGTTGATGTTACATTACTGTGACTTCCAACTTATTGCCAATTCTCCCATAGACTGTGCTTGTTGGAAACCAGCTGTGAAGCTTCCAAATGGTGATCATGTGGCCAATAGCATACATTTGAGGACCATTCGTAAATCTACTTTTCCAGTGCTGTCCTTGAAGAATGAGGTAGTATTAACTGAGGACTACCTATATATTACAAGTAAATCCTGCAGTGGCTTTCCTTTATAGAGCATAAAATGATTTACTTGATTTTATCTCCTCCTATCCCCATAATGGGTTCATCAGGTAAACTGGTCAGCAAATAGAGACTTGTGAAATGCTTTATGGATGAGTGAGGATCTGAAGATGGTAGATCTAGTCCAAATCCTATCTATAATCCTGTTAATCTCTTTCCTTTTTTCAAAAGGTAAGCAATGCAAGAACTTGAACAGGCAAAATTGCAGCACAGTGATCAAATGTTCTGCTTTCCCCAACATGATTCAACTCCCACAATTCCCATAATTATCTACCAGCACATTGCACATTTGGAGGATAACAGATTGAAAAAGATAACTTTACAAGTCATAATAGTTGCTGGGTTAAGAACAGGGGAATTGGGATGGGTGGGTGTTAGTCTAAAGTCAAGATCATATCTGCAACTACACGACCAAAGCTCCACCCCTTTCTACATGACTCATCTGTGCACTTCACTTACAAAAGAGGGCTGCTGCCTTGACTTTTATGACCCCCTCTCAACTGCCTAGGTAAGAATAAGTACTTTAGCAGATTCAATCCCGAAGCCTGAAAAAAAGGAAAAGGACTGATGGAGGAAAATAAGAATGGAATCCATGAGAGAAAACTGCAATGCCTGAAATGGTCTTCCAGGATGAAAAAGCAACTGCAGTCTTGAGAAATTGGCTGGACATGAGCCTAGTCTGAAAACTGTCAAAATGGCATTCATCGCTTGTTAGGCTAGAAGACAGAGAAGGTTTCTTGGACTCTCCCAACTTAGATCCTATGGTAGTAGCTGCAGTTACCTTAACCAGCCATTGCCACTAGAGGGGGTTATATAGCTATATGGGGGTTGGGGGCTAGTTTAAATAAACAAGAGCAATATTTGTGCCAGTATCTCAAACCAACAATGCTTTTTATTCCAAATGCCAGCATTATTTCCCTGTCTTCTCTAATTAATTTTAAAATAACAGATTCATAGATCTGGAATTGTCTAATATCCTGCTCAGTTCAGGAATCCAATTTAAAGCATTCCTGACAGATATCTGCCCACTTCTGTTTATACATATGCAGTGAAGGGAGTCCACAACCTATCTTGATAACTAGATCCAGTATTGAACTTTTATTATTATTAGATTTTTTTTCCTAACAACCAAACGGAATTTCCTTTCTATCACTTTAGACAATTATTTTGTGTCTTGCTTTAAGGATAATAGAGAACAGATATTTTCATGTGATTTTATTTTCAGGTATTTGAAAATAGCTATTGTGACTCCCCTCAACTTTTTCTTATCAAGTTAATGAATCCCAGCCTTCCAGCTCTGTTCATAGTCATTAGTCTCACATCTATTGATCATCGTCTTTGACCTGTCCCAGTTTCTCTGAATCCTCCTTAAAATCTGGAGTCCAAAGCTAAACACAATATTTAAGATGGGTTCTAATCAATGCAAAATAAAAGCAGATAATAACTACCTATGATTTAAGAACTATGTTCTTGTAACATTTGTAAATGAATTTGTAATCTACTAAGAGTCTGACCAGGTTAGAATTTAGGTAGGAAATTTCAAGACATATCAAATCTGTGGGCTAAATGAAGAAGCTAAAAAATTATTCCAGAAGAAGGCAGGAATATATTCTATTGCTGCCTATTAAATAACATGATTTTGTTCATGAAGTTACCAGTTGAACTTGACTTGGATTTGATTTTTAATTTTTTAAATGTCTTTCACAAGTATTGCAAACCAGCATCCCTCTACATTAGAATTGTCTGACTGTTCTATTACTTTATATTTGTTTCTACAAAACTGCATTACTCTGCTATTTTCACAATTATTTAATGATTTTAAATTGTATTTCTGTATTTCAATCTATTAGCTACTTCACCCAATGACATATCACCTGCAAATTTTAGTATTTCTTCTCCTTCTTCTACAGAAAAGGAAGCAGTCATATTTTTTCCCATTTTGATAAGCTATGCAGTAGGGGTTAATTCCCTATTTATAACCCTCCACCTCCTCTCCCTCCCCTTCTTATGATTATGAATAGGCCAACATGAGGTCAGTTGAGTAGCAATCCCTGAATCTTACAGCTGCTACCCTTGGATTTTAGGTTTCCGCTCAGCTGGACTTCATTATTATTTTTAAACGTCAATGTTATTTAGAACATTTAGGCACCCTTCTCCCTCCCAACTGAACTATTATAGATAATATCAGCACAGGGATACCCGTCAATATTGAAAAAGTTAGATGCCCTCAAAAACCAAATAGACTACCAAGGAAAAATGATTATTTATATGAATGTGTTTGCATATATAGAGTAAATTGGTACATGTGAACATTGTGTCTGCAGCTACAGTTATGATCATGATCATGTTGCAATGTTTTATGTGAGAAGTAGCAGATTGTGAGAGAGAGGGAGAGAGGGGCAGGAAGGGACGAGATGAGACATCAATTAAGGCCTTAGGCTTATACTGAGGGCTTGCTTATTCTAACTCTGTATTTTCAGCAGAGGATAGTCAATGCCTCTGGAAAGTTAATGTTGATTAGGCAACAATAATTCCAACTATAGGTCTTCAAGTTTCAATGATTTTTTTTAAACACGGAGGTTTATTTAACTGTCATAATAGATGGGCTAGATTTCCATGGGCAAGGGTGTGGTAATCGTGAGTTGTTTCATCAAGAGTTTAACTGATGAGGGGGTAACGGAATAATACATGCCTGAGCTTGCATGTGAGCTAAAGTGGATTGGGCCCTACTGATCCAGGAGAGGGGGGCAGGTCTGTGAACCTCCACCTACAATCCCAGAGAAAAGCTGACTTGCAATGCTGTCACTACCACTTTTCTGCAAGGACTCCTCTTCTGACCTGATTTACTTAGAGAAAAGCAAGTGGAGATCTTCAGGAGTTTGATCTGATTGAAGGATTTGTGCCAAAGGCTGGTTCCTGTCCTCAGCATGTGTGTCACTAATGCATTAAGTGTTCGCTTTCTTATGCATAGCAAGGTCAAAGACCTAGCAGGAAGTTGAAAGGCACAGAGGGGGTGGGTGGGAGAAATGACAATGACTTCTGAAGAGCTTGATTTCAGTTAGCTATTTCCTCAGCCCAGGATCTCCTTCAAACACACACAGAGCTCAGAACACTGTCCATAAGTGAAAAGGGATTCTATCCAACATCTAGCTTACATTAGTTCCTAACTGGCTATGTAATTCACTGATCTGCGACTCGTAGATTTCTATGGATCTTCCTTTCTTGACTGGCATCTTGCCCTTGGGGAGAGCCCTGATGGGGAAAAAGAATAGCCAATGAAGTCAATGAATAGTGATGAACCTTCCCACTCTGATTTTGATAGGTTCCTCGGAGTTGGATTTTCATGAACTTCAAATTTCTATTTACAGTTTAAGTTTTCATTTAACTCTTTCAGTGTCATTCAGTGTCTTGGAATGGGTTTCCTCTTATTTATTACAGGGAACTGTCCCAATTTGTGAAAGTAGCTCCCTTGACTCCCCATTATGATTGTGCAAGCAAAAATCATAATGAAAACATTAGGCCTATTTTGAAAACAACAATAAACAGGTAACTCACTTATCTATAACATCTTCTTCCTACTTGGGAGATATAGGAGGGGAGGGTAAGTTATGCACCAATATATAGCTAACTGATTAAATATGGCTTAATGGGAGGAAAGATGATCATGTCTCTGTGTTTGCATGGAATAAAAAAAAGATCCTTTTTTCTCTTTCCTCTATTTAATGTAGTTCAGGGTTAAAACTTACTTATGCATTTGTTTATGGCCGTTCTGCAATATATAAAACCTTAGTTTTAGTTTTTCATTGTTTCCATATGTATGCATATGTTTATATGTGCATGCATCCTTGGAATAATCTGTCTGGTGTCCCAACAAGTAATAGTAATTGTAGTTGTTTTTAGTCTCTTTGAGTCAGTGTTGCCTCCTAGTTGATTGCCTGGAAAGTGCCTGCTGGTTTTTCTGGCAAGATTTCGGAAGTGGTTTGCCCTTGTCACTTTCCTAGAACTGATAAAAAGTGACTGGCCCAAAGTCACCAGCTTGTTTCATGCTTAATGCAGAGCTATAACTCCCAGATTCCTGCTTTCTAGCTCTGTGCATACACTATAGACAAGCATTCTTGGTGAAATTTGGCTTTATGTCTCAAATGACCTAGAAATGTGCATTGTATAAACAAGTATCCTGGATCACTTCACAACGAGTGTAAGATCCTAAAGTTCACTATGAGAAATAAACCTTATTTTATTTTATTTATTTTGGTTTTTTTCTGTTTTTTATTTTATTTTTTTAATCAGTCATACTTAGAAACCAGTAAGTATGCATAAGATTATAGCCTCAAATTGCAAATCTGATTCACAGCAGAAAACTATGCAAATGATCGGGGATGACCAATAATATAAGAGTATCCTTGGAGATGGAAAATGTATACAGTGTCTCCCATGTTAACTAACATGGAATTCACAGTAGAAATTCTTCCTGTGCATCCCCATCTCTTTTCTTTCTCCCTCCTTTCTATCCATTTCAGTGTAACTCACTCTTTACTTTAGCTGTATATACATACTAGCTAAAATAATGATGTACTAGCATGATTCTTACTGCTGTCCTTAAGGGCTAACAGGATGTATCATCTTCATCAGCAACAGTGTGTGTGTGGTGGGGATGCACAGGGGATGCACATTATTTCAATGACTGATTAAAACTGGGCTGTGTGTGTGAGAGAGAAGGGGGAGATAAAGAGAATTGACAAAATATGGTTCTGGGGCAGCTGGAACAGGAAAAACGTGTTTAATGGTACACAAAGATTGGCATACGACTATTTCAATAATCCACTGGGATGAGTTATGGCTAACTGCATGTGCTTGTGGAACAACATTGGAAATCCAGACTATCTACTTCCAAAATAATCTGCAAATGAAGCAAAATTTTTGCAAAATTTAATCAAAAAATTGTACATAAGATTACCACTTTGCCTTATTTTATTGTAGGGATTCCTCTTCATTCAAAAGGAATTATAAAAATGCCCAGTGGGCATTGAGGCAAGGAAGAAGGGCATATGGATTGGTTGGGATGGCTCTATCTCACAATTTCCCTTGCATCTCTCCCTAGGCTTCTTGTCTGGATTCTGTATGCTGGGATTAGTTTCAGAGGAAATCAGATTGTGTCTGAAATCCAGCTTCCTCTCTTTTTATAGTTCCCAGGGTTCCTCCAAGCCCTGTCGCTCCCATTTAGCATTACTCTGGAAAGCAAAATCTGTAGATGGCTAGAGGGACTGTTGCTTTCATCAGAAGGATTAAAAGGCAGGAAGTGATGGGTGCTGACCGC